GGTTAGCGCCACGCTGCGCTACGAAACCGGCGTCCCGAGTTCGATTCCCGCTCACGGCGAACACCGGTGATGATTATTTGAACCGGTACTGGGCTTTCCTCAACGACTCAGCCTCAAATGAGTACCCGGTGTGGTTGTGTAAATATCGCCAATAGGGAGACAAAGGCGGTCGGGCGCGGTGCTGGCCACCCACCCCCTCGTGTGCCGTGCCGGCCTTCACAGGCGCTCGCTAACAGCACTTGCCCCTACAGCCTGTCAAGGCCACACGGGGGATCTTTATCTTTGTGTGTGTGTACACGTGTTCTGTGTGTGTGTGTACACGTGTTCCGTGTGTGTGTGTACACGTGTTCCGTGTGTGTGTGTACACGTGTTGTGTGTGTGTGTACACGTGTTCTGTGTGTGTGTACATGTGTTCCGTGTGTGTCTGTGATCCGTGTTCTGTATGTGTGTACACGTGTTCTGTGTGTGTGTGTGATCCGTGTTCTGTATGTGTGTACACGTGTTCTGTGTGTGTGTGATTCGTGTTCCGTGTGTGTGTGTACACGTGTTCTCTGTGTGTGTGTACACGTGTTGTGTGTGTGTACACGTGTGTGGTGTGTACACGTGTTCTGTGTGTGTGTACACGTGTGTGTGTGTACACGTGTTGTGTGTGTGTACACGTGTTCCGTGTGTGTGTACACGTGTTGTGTGTGTGTGTGTACACGTGTTCCGTGTGTGTAGGGTTACCTGTTGGAAGGGCATTCTCAGAGCGCCCATGTTAACGTAGGGGGCCACGCGGCACGCCTCCAGGTGACTCGTGGTGCCGATCAGGACTCCTGGGCGACAGGCGGTAAACACTAATAATAATAAACAAATATATCACACACACTCCCGTTTGTTCATGCACGAGAACGTGGGTTCGGGAAGTAAACACCAATAATAATAATAAACAATATATCACACACACTCACACACTCCCGTTTGTTCATGCACGAGAACGTGGGTTCGATCCCGACGCCTGCTATATATTAGAAGTTTGCGTGTCTTTCTCTCTCTCGTCATCATCATCATCATCACGGTAGGTAGGGGATGTTAACTACTTCTCCTGGTATACAGGAGGGTCGTGGGTTCGGCCCGATCGTGACGCCTGCTATATATTGGGAGTTTGCGTGTCTCTCTCTCTTGTCATCAACATCACCACGGTAGGTAGGAGATGTTAACGACCTCTCCTGGTATACAGGAAGTCGTGGGTTCGATCCTGATCCTGACGCCTGCTATATATTGGGAGTTTGCGTGTCTCTCTCTCGTCATCATCATCATCATCACGGTAGGCAGGAGATGTTAACTCCATCTCCTGGTATAGAGGAGGTCGTGGGTTCTCGGATTTTTTTCCTCCACGTTTAGCGTATTTCGCTGCTATAAATTTCCATATAATGACAAGCCACTTCGTTGGGTTATCATTTGTGGCGTGATCGCTTCTGAAAAGAGCCATATTGCTCGGTGGGCATTACCTGGTAAAATACACTTTCGTCAATAACAACAACAATACTGTGGCCTGAAAATTAAAAAATATATAACAGGCAACGTTTCGGGCAATGGTCCTTCATGGCATAGACAAAGGCCAGATAGACGACAATGGATGAGTGGTAGAGACTGCATTCTACATCGCACGAAGATCTGATAGGAAATAATAAATATTAATGTATTTTTCTCTCCCAATTTTTTAATTGGCATATTAATAGCTGCTATTGGTCGCAGTTATTACGTTGGTAACTTTTGTTGGCGTGGCGGTGATACTGACAATGCTCTTTTAGGTACCCAGGAAAGCCTCGCTGAGTCCGAGGACTCGTTTTCAGGAAGAGGAGGGGGGGGGGGGGTCATGCTACATTGCGATGTCATATAACAGACCCCATTCATTCCATCACCAATGAGAGTTTGGTGGTGTCTGCGTGGGAGAAGCCGGGAGAAGCCCAGAAGAGGACAACCCAGCACCTTGCTGCGGCCTGTGGGCGGGTTGTTCTCTACAGTTTTCAGTTTCATTTATTCGGTATAGCCCTGTGAGCCATGCGGCTCTTGACTCGGGTGCAACCGCAACAAACAAAAACATGAACATCTTTTAAAGTGGACTACGAGCAACAGAAAATTCAGGGAAACAGCCAAAGTTTTGGGGTGGGGTGGGGTGGGATAGACGCTAATCAGCGCCGTCACCTCCTGGCACACACCTCACAGTCACGAACCTACAACACCTGGCAAGCACTGGTACGGATCGTTTCCGAGCGAAAAGCGATATCGTGGCAGCCGTGAAAAAAAATTGACAGGCGACCTGCGCGCCAAATGAATATCAGCGATCCCAATTAAAACGAAAACTCTTTTTTTATTTTATCAGGTAAAGCCGACCGACCTATACAGCTCTTTTTTCAGAAGGACCTGGCACAAATGATAGCTCAACGAAGTGGCTCATCATCATCACGTGGAAATGTATATCAGCCAAATACTCTAATGCGCGTGTGTAAAGACGTGGAGGGAAAACCGGAGGACCGGAGAAAACCGCGGAGAGGAGCATGCAAACCTCCGCATATACAGCAGGCGTCGGGTTTAGACTCGAACCCACGACCTCCTGCGTACCAGGCGAGGGAGTTAACATCGAGAATATTAGAGGAATTTTGCTGATATAATTTCCATGTGACAAGCCGCTTTGTTGAGCTATCATTTGTAGCCAGATCCGTGGCCTTTTACCTGGTTATATAAAAAAAACTGTTTAGTTGTTATCTGTATATTTAAGTCATTTTCTTACCTTTCCTAAACTTTGCACTCCTATCGTGTCTTTATTGTTTGTTTATGTAACGTTCTCATTCGCCCCTACCGGACAGCTTTTAAAGTCAAGAGCTTAATAGCTCATCGGATTCCTCCAGTTTCAATAATTATTCTAAAATACTGATCTCGTCACCGAGGCGTCCCATTGGGAGATTAAGAGGGGACGGGGCTCGAGGGGCGGGGCTAGAGGGGGAGGGGCTCGGGGGGGAGGGGCTCTGGAGGGGGCGCTCAGGGGGCCCCGTGGTGATGGAACGCATCCGGTTGACGGTCGTAGCGATAGATTGGTGACGCAATTATTTATTTATTCATCAATCACCGTTTGGTGGCGAAAAGCATGCAGGGGCGCAGGGCGGAAGACGACTTCCGTGTCGGGACGACGTCTCGCACAAAGTCGGAGGCTTTCGCGACCAATATCCAGAATAAAGGATGAGTGAAGCGAATGAGTCAAGTTTGGCAGCGAATCTTGACAATTAAGTTATAAGTGCTTCAGCACACCCGTGTTGGGCGGGCTTAACGACGCATTTATATATTTGCGCGATCTAACCCAGAGCAAAGGATGAAGATGTCTGTTTTCTCCCTCTCTCTATCTCTCTTAGCCGTGAGCTCGATGCGGTAGTTTAAACCACCTGGTGTAAAGTGCGCCCTTCCAGTAGCCTTACACGAATAAACCCGCCACGTCCTGGACGTCGAGAAGCAAAAACACACAAACTGCACCACCGTTCTCAGTAGAGACGTGCCCGCAGGCACGAACAAACAGGCAGACACACACAGCACAGACACGAATACACAAACAGACAGACACACAGATACACACAGTACAGGCACGAACACACACACAAACACACAGATATACACAGCACAGACACGAATACACAAACAGACACACAGCTATACACAGTACAGGCACGAACCAGAGGTGTGGACTCGAGTCATGTGACTTGGACTCGAGTCAGACTCGAGTCATGAATTTGATGACTTCAGACTCGACTTGGACTTGCAAACAATGACTTTGTCCCACCTCTGAGGTGTGGACTCGAGTCATGTGACTTGGACTCGAGTCAGACTCGAGTCATGAATTTGATGACTTCAGACTCGACTTGGACTTGCATAACAATGACTTTGTCCCACCTCTGGCACGAACACACACACACAGACAAACAGATATACACAGATACACACAGCACAGGCACGAACACACACACAGACACACAGATATACACAGTACAGGCACGAACACACACACACAGACACACAGATATACACAGCACAGGCACGAACACACACACACAGACACACAGATATACACAGCACAGGCACGAACACACACACACAGATATACACAGCACAGGCACGAACACACACACACAGATATACACAGCACAGGCACGAACACACACACAGACACACAGACAAACAGACAAACAGACAGACACAGACAACACAGACACACATCACAGGCACGAACACACACAAACAGACAAACACACAAACAGACACAAACGCAGACACACAGATATACACAGTACAGGCACGAAACACACACACAGACACACAGATATACACAGCACAGGCACGAACACACACACAGACACACACAGATATACACAGCACAGGCACGAACACACACACACAGACAAACAGACAGACACAGACAACACAAACAAACAGACACACACCCAAACAGACACAGACAACACAGACACACAGCACAGGCACGAACACACACAAACAGACACACACCCAAACAGACACAGACAACACAGACAGACACAGACAAACAGACACACATTCACACAGATACACAAAAGTAAAACTGACTGCCATGTAAATACCCGACACTACATACAAAGATCACCAGTATAGCCTTAACACACTGTTGGGGCAAGTGCTGCTCGCGGGCACCTATGAAGGCCAACACGGCACACACACCGCACTAGGTACTCATTTGAGTTTGAGTCGACCTAGGCGAGGACCGGTTACACAGACACGCACACAGACACGCGCAGACACACACAGATAAAGATAAAGATCCCCCGTATAGGCGTAACATACTGTAGGGGCAAGTGCTGTTAGCGAGCACCTATATATAGACACACATATATAGACACACGCACATATACACAAGCACATATACACACACCACATAGACACACACACATAGACACACACGCGCGCGCACACACACAGACAATTACCTTTATGCATTTGATTCTCCTGTTTCCTGCACTTGGCGCGCCTGTTCTGGAACCAGACCTGGGACACGCGCCACAAGAGTAGACAATGAACCCGCCTCGATCACCCATCCACCCACCCCCCTCCAACTCCTCGCCCGCCTTAAATCAGATCGAATCAAACGCGCGCCCCTAAGTATCCCCGAATAAATAAATCAGACATTATCATGCGCGCTCGGGTTGGGCATATATCAATGCTGGCGCGGCATGCGGGCTTGTGTTAATCACACGAGATACTTTAATCAATAATGCATGCCGCTGCTGGCTTTATTGATGCCGACCGACCGCCTCATGCCGCGTACATTGAGCGATGCAATTTGAAAGCGCCTGACATTTACGCAGAAGAGCGGCCGCGGTGTTCCCATTGTTGAGGCATTTCCGAGCCGACACGAGCGGGCAATGTTTCCGATTGAAGGGGGGTTAGGGGCCGGTGATGGCTCTTGAATTTTTTTGGAAATTTTTTTTTCTCGAACAATTTTTCGTTTTGTATTTTTGTTTGTTTGTTTGCCAGGTGTAAGGCCCGCTCGGAGCTAGGCGTAGCTTTTTTTTTCTTCAGAAGCGAACTGGTTGAACACAAATGGGGGTTCAACGAAGTGGCTTATCATTTATGAGGGAACATTTATCGCAACGCGTGGTGTTCGTTCTAAAGTGGAGTGGGGGGGGGGGGGGGAGACCCCAGGAGGACCGGAGAAAAATTCACGCCACTACGGGGAGAGCGAAACATCCAGACTCCAAACTATACAGCAGCAGGTGTCAGGGTCGGGATCGAACCCACGACCTCCTGCATACCAGGCGAGGTAGTTAACATCTCGCCACCGTGGCGAGGGGGTGGGCGTGATGGCGAGAGGCGGTGTTGTTAGTGGTGGTGGTGGTGTTATTGGTGGTAGGTATGGCTGGTAGTAGTCATGGTGGTGCTAGTGATGGTGTTATCATGCAAGGTTGGTAGTCGGGTATGAGTGGTGTTGCTAGCGGGCCTTCGCGAGTGACTGTCATGGGCCCTGCTGTCGGGAATTAAATGGGGCCCCTCTACAATTCCTCACCGCCCCCTTACCCCCCCCATCCCTCCTCGACACTCTGGGCCCCGGCGCAGTTGCACTGCCTGCACACTCGACAGCTCCTCCACGGCACAGGGCATGACCTTCGTGAAACGTGATCACTCACTCGCTCCCATCCCCCTCTCATCCTCCCACCCCTCACGCACCCCCCCTCCTCCACCCCCCCTCCACCCCCACCCGCTAAAAGTTGATTAAAAATGTAAGAGTCGACGGTTGCTGCTGCTGCTGATGATGATTGTCGCCGTGGCACAGCAGATATCCGAATAATTGTTGTTATTTGGTTGTTGTTGTTGTTGCTGCTTGGTTGTTGTTATTTTGAATAGCGGCTCGCTCCGATGGGACATATTCGTTCGCGATGTATGATGGGAAAAACTCGCCATGATCATGGTGATGATGATGATGATCATGATTTAGGCGAAGATGCCGATGATGTTGCGTGATCGTGAACACGCGCTTCGCGTAGCATTGCACGCAACGTCGACGGTTATGATGATGATGATGGTGGTGATGGTTCCATGCTTTTGCTACTGATGATGATAACTTTGAAGCTGCTGATGACAATGCTGTAGCTGCTAATGACCTTACACTACCAATGATGATACTGCTAATGATAATTGCTGCTGCTGCTGATGATGATGATGCTGATGATAATTGCTGTTGATGATAATGCTGATGACACTGCTGTCGCTGCTAATGACCTTACACTGCCAATGATGATACTGCTGCTGATGATGATGCTGATGCTGATGATGATGCTGATGATGCTAATGATAGTTGCTGCTGCTGATGATGCTGATGATGCTGATTGATGCTGATGATGCTGATTAATCCTGATGATGCTGCTGCTGATGATGCTGATTGATGCTGGTAATGCTGATTGATGCTGGTGATGATGATGCTGATGATGACGCTGATGATGATGCTGATGATGCTGGCTGTACCTGCACTCGAGCTTCGGACAGTCCGAGCCTCTGGCTCAGCTCCTCCCGCATGAACGCGTCGGGGTAGTGCGTCTCGTCGAATAGACGTTCCAGCTCATTGAGCTGCTCCAGGGTGAAGTTGGTGCGACTGCGGCGCTGCTTGAGCTTCGCTTGGCCCTCCTCCTCCTCGGCTCTCGACTCCTCCCGCCGCTCCTTCGAGTCTGTGATAGACGGGAGAGTGGGAGAGATGGGAGAGTGGGAGAGTGGGAGAGATGGGAGAGATGGGGGAGTGGGAGAGATGGGAGAGTGTGGGAGAGATGGTAGAGTGTGGGAGAGATGGGGGAGTGGGAGAGTGGGAAAGATCGGAGAGATGGGAGAGTGTGGGAGAGATGGGAGAGTGTGGGAGAGATGGGGGAGTGGGAGAGTGGGAGAGACGGGGGAGTGGGAGAGACGGGGGAGTGGGAGAGATGGGAGAGATGGGGAGAGTGGGGAGAGGTGGGAGAGGTGGGAGAGTGTGTGAGAGAGACGGGGGAGTAAGAGAGATGGGAGAGTGGGAGAGACGGGGGAGTGGGAGAGATGGAGAGATGGGAGAGATGAGAGAGATGGGAGAGACGGGGGAGTGGGATAGATGGGAGAGTGGGAGAGGTGGGAGAGTGGGAGAGTGGGAGAGTGTGAGAGAGACGGGGGAGTGGGAGAGATGGGGAGAGTGGGAGAGGTGGGAGAGTGGAGAGTGGGAGAGTGTGAGAGAGACGGGGGAGGTGGGAGAGATGGGAGAGTGGGAGAGGTGGGAGAGTGGGAGAGTGTGTGAGAGAGACGGGGGAGTAAGAGAGATGGGAGAGTGGGAGAGACGGGAGAGTGGGAGAGACGGGGGAGTGGGAGAGATGGGAGAGATGGAGAGTGGGAGAGACGGGAGAGATGGGAGAGATGGGGAGTGTGAGAGAGACGGGGGAGTGGGAGAGATGGGAGAGTGGGAGAGACGGGGGAGTGGGAGAGATGGGAGAGATGGGAGAGATGGGAGAGATGGGAGAGATGGGAGAGACGGGGGAGTGGGATAGATGGGAGAGTGGGAGAGTGTGGGAGAGTGGGAGAGTGGGAGAGTGTGAGAGAGACGGGGGGAGTGGGAGAGATGGGAGAGTGGGAGAGGTGGGAGAGTGGGAGAGTGTGTGAGAGAAACGGGGGAGTAAGAGAGATGGAGAGTGGGAGAGACGGGAGAGTGGGAGAGACGGGGGAGTGGGAGAGATGGGAGAGATGGGAGAGTGGGAGAGACGGGAGAGATGGGAGAGATGGGGGAGTGTGAGAGAGACGGGGGAGTGGGAGAGATGGGAGAGTGGGAGAGACGGGAGAGTGGGAGAGACGGGGGAGTGGGAGAGTGGGAGAGTGGGAGAGTGGGAGAGGTGGGAGAGTGGGAGAGTGGGAGAGGTGAGAGAGACGGGGAGAGTGGGAGAGATGGGAGAGTGTGGGAGAGTGGGAGAGACGGGGGAGTGGGAGAGATGGGGGAGTGGGAGAGTGTGAGAGAGACGGGGGAGTGGGAGAGATGGGAGAGTGGGAGAGGTGGGAGAGTGGGAGAGTGTGTGAGAGAAACGGGGGAGTAAGAGAGATGGGAGAGTGGGAGAGACGGGAGAGTGGGAGAGACGGGGGAGTGGGAGAGATGGGAGAGATGGGAGAGTGGGAGAGACGGGAGAGATGGGAGAGATGGGGGAGTGTGAGAGAGAAGGGGGAGTGGGAGAGATGGGAGAGTGGGAGAGACGGGAGAGTGGGAGAGACGGGGGAGTGGGAGAGTGGGAGAGTGGGAGAGTGGGAGAGGTGGGAGAGTGGGAGAGTGGGAGAGTGGGAGAGACGGGGGAGTGGGGAGAGTGGGAGAGTGGGAGAGATGGGAGAGTGTGGGAGAGTGGGAGAGACGGGGGAGTGGGAGAGATGGGGGAGTGGGAGAGTGTGAGAGAGACGGGGGAGTGGGAGAGATGGGAGAGTGTGGGAGAGATGGGAGAGACGGGGGAGTGGGAGAGTGTGAGAGAGACGGGGGAGTGGGAGAGACGGGAGAGTGAGAGAGACGGGGGAGTGGGAGAGACGGGAGAGATGGGAGAGTGTGAGAGAGACAAATCAGGGCGTGAAGCGGGGAGATTGTAGCCGTGAGGGATGAGTGCAGTGGCACCCCCCCCCCCCACTCCACTTCTCTGCCTACGAGTGACGACGTCGGGGTGACTTTCGCGTGCAAGTTGTGAGCCGCGCTGCGCCGAAATGTGTTTAGCAATGTCCCGTGGCGGGACTCGAACCACGTTGCCTGTGAGCTCAGTGGCGATGGAGTCCAGCGACAAGGCACCGTGAAAATGCGCGGCCAAGTCAAGGGAGACTTTGCCTAAACCTCAACGGAAGCTAAGCAGGGTTGAGCTTGCTGGGTAGTTGAATGACTTATCCAGAATACCAGGTACCATTGGCTCGGGCTGAAAGGGGGCCAGGACAGGGCAGTACAGCAGCGGATTCGTAAATCTATCTGCGCGGATCTTTAAGTGTGTGTGTCTCTCTCTTTCTCTGGGTTTTGTTCCCGCAATTTCCCTTATCCCTCCCGTAAGAAGGCAAACTCCCAATTATTATTTGATGGAATTGGACAAATATCCCCAATGTGGGAGCAAGACACCCTCGTAAACATATGAGACTCATCCGGGGAGTTTTTTTTTTATCTCTTCTTCTGAATAAATAAACAAGAGAAGCCGCGCGTATTATGTACCAACGAGCTATTGACCTCGATATTTCAAGAGCCACAAATGCACCGCGTGGTGAAAGCGAGACACGGTGGCCCCTTAATAAATAACTGGCCATGAAGCGGCACTGAAAGAGACGCAGATGTGCCGGACCCCCTGATGTCGACGGACACTACGAACAGCGATTGTACGATACAATCTGCCCCGTGCATTCTAACTGTGATGCTATCAGGTGAACGGTAGGGTAGCGGTTAGCGCTACGCTGCGCTACGAACCCGGCGACTCGAGTTCGATTCCCGCTCACGGCCCAACACCGGTGACGATGATCTGAGCCGGTACTGGGCATCCCCTAGGTCGACTCAGCCTCAAATGAGTACCTGGTGCAGTATGTGAACATCGCCACTGGGGATACAAAGGCGGTCGGACGTGGTGCTGGCCACCTACCCCCTCGTGTACCGTTCCGGCCTTCATAGGTGCTCGCTAACAGCACTTGCCCCAACAGCATGTTAAGCCTATACGGGGGATCTTTGTCTTTGTGTGTGCGTCTTTGTTGGGGAGCGATAGTTGTAGCGGTTCGCGCGCCGCGCTACGACCCTGGCGACCCGAGTTCGATTCCCACTCACGGCCAACACCGGTGATGATTATCTGAACCGGTCCTGGGCCTCCCCTAGGTCGACTCAGCCTCAAAAGATGATGCAACCGAGCAGGTGGCTCAGCGGGTCGAGCAAGCGGAATCACAATCTGAAGGTTGCGAGTTCGCGCCCTCGTTTTGTGGATTAACTCAGCCCATCATCCTTCCGGGACCGATAAAATAAAACTACCCTTTTGTAAGTTTTGTTAACAACGGTGCATCTCCTGTCGATAGACTCGCTCCTCACCAGAGGAATGTGGAATTTCCACCACTGAGCTCTGCAGGGCTGGAATCAACGGATGATCATTTGAGTAGGACATTGCTTCCGCCTCTGCGTGCGTGTACTGCATTGCGTCTGCTGTCAATCTTTAATTGAAATGCAATCGTCTATTGATAATTAATCAGAAACTATCCCCAGCCACGGGGCGTCAATTAACATCAATGGGAGAGCCACGTGATATCGCTCCAATTAAGTTATTGAATTAGAACTAAACGCGTGTAATTTATAGCCCACTAATTAATAGACTGTTATCATTTCTCGATAAATCTTGACTCAAAGCTTTCGTGACTGCAGGTATTCATATTCTTTGGGTCTTTCGGTAAAGTCACGTGGATAGGTTCAAATTGATAAAAAACATTAAATAAGCAAAAAACTACAACGTTTCGATCGCAACCCATGGCACGTGGGTCTGTCCCTTGACCTCCTGCCAGCGGGCTTTTGACACTTCACGTGCCCTCAACGTGCACGTAGCCTGGCACAAGCGCCGTGATGACATCACCTCCACTTAGTGGCGAATGGAGGTGGTTGTTGTTGTTGTGTCTGGGGTGCGGTAGTGCAGCGGTGAGCGCGTTGCGCTACGAACCTTGCGACCCGAGTTCGATTCCCGCTCACGACCAACATAGGTGACGATTTTCTGAAGCGGTAGCTGGGACTCTGCTAGGTCGACTCAGCCCTAAACGAGCACCGAATGCGCTGCGTTAACATCAGCACTAGGGGACAAAGGCGGCGGGCGTGGTGCTGGCCACCTACCCCCTCGTGTGCCGTGCCGGCTTTCATAGATACTCGCTAATAGCACTTGCCTCAACACTCGTTCAAGGCTACACGGGGGATATTTGTCTTTCATGAACAGTTATACCCTCCGGTTAGCGTGTATGTGTGCGCGTGTCCACACACTTGATACAACACACTTGCTGTGCATGGTATCAAATGTGTACGACATCTCACTCACTCACCGCACTGCAGGTCACAACAACAGACTCACTCATTCACCCGTTCACCCACCTACTCACCCATCCACTCACCCACTCACCCATCCACTCACCCATCCACTCACCCATCCCCTCACCCACCTACTCACCCACCTACTCACCCATCCACTCACTCACCCATCCACTCACCCGCTTACTCACCCACCTACTCACCCACTCACCTCACTTCTCATTCTAATCATTCCCTCACTGCTCCACTGCGGGATGCCCTCTACCATCGTCATCATCATTCCTCTTCTCCCCACCAGCTCTCACCGTCACCTTGCTCAGAGTCGCGCTACACTCGTTATCGATTACAACGTTGATAACAGTGCCGTTTGTTGCAGGCCGCTCTGGCGGTTCGGGCCTCTGTCCGTATTTCTTTTAAATGTGGATTGAAAACGAATTTCTTGAGAACTCCTTTTGGTGGTTAGTTTGTTTTCCTTCCCTTGGTTACGTACGGTGCGAAAGACGTTCAACATACGTACGTGTGTGTGTGTGTACGACACACGCAGTGAGTATTCAGATGATACTTCTCTTCCTTGGGCGGCCACGCGTACATTTGCCACGGAGATATACTTGATGTGGTGTGCCGGGTGAAGACATTTTCCGGACTGAAACAAATCCCTGATGTAGAAATGTGGGA